CTCAGGTGGAGACTGTCTTTACAAAGCCAATGAAAGAAGTTCAGTCTTAGTGTAAATTGAGATGGTGTGGCTTGGGAGATTAAGTATAGAATTTCCATCTTAATGCCTTGAGTGTGTCTTAAATCTGTATAAATGGCATTTTCCAGGAAATGAGATCTATTTTATTTCTCACAGAACAATCGTCCTGCTACCAGTATACCTTTTAAGTTTAGATCATTAGGGTTTTTGTCATTTGGGACTCAATAACAAATGAAGAAAACACATGTTCAGATATAAAAACTCTAGAAATGTATTTGTTTTCACTGGGGTGACAGCATAGACCATCAGCTATAAAAATGAACTGTTAAATACTTTGCAATTCCCCCAATATGGATTTAATATACACCACATGCATTTCTTGAAATCATTTCTTTGCTAGTAAGAATGTTTCACATAAAATATTCTCTCTTCAAAAGGAAAGGTGACATTACTGATTTTCAGGATGATTTTCCCTGTGATATCAATATGCAATACTGATGGAAAGGAAAGCCCACGCCCCTAAAGACCAGGCATCAGAGGCAGAGGTTTACCTGCCAGGACTCTGCACTCAGCTTTGCTGAGCAGGAACTTCAAATGAGCAGTGGCTGGAGAAACGTGCTCACTTGAGGAAGTCTTCCTAAGAGATGTATGTGTACTTGCAGATATGAAACTGGGACTCTAACACTGACATAAATATTTTCCCCCTAAGAAAAGTCACAGAAGGCTAGAGAGATAGGAAAGAGTTTAAGGTGCTTCCCACGTCAAATCCCTGGCACTATGTATGGTCACCCGAACACTGCCAGGAGTGTTCATCACCAGGTATGGTTCAAACCCCCCCTTTCCCAGCTCCCCACTAAAGGAATCAGCAAATGGGCCATAGCAGAAGGTCAAAGGGATGGTGTGTATGTATCACATATGCATGACCTGGTGTTTGATACACAGCACAGCTGGGTGTAGCCCTGACTCCCATCTACCCACCAACCCCCTGCCTGCCCATGCAACACCCTAACATACACAACCAAGAACTATCAAATGTTTGGGGCAGATTGAGTCTCACCAGCACTGTCCTGCGGGCCCCAACCAAGCACCTCTGGAAGACCACTAACCATCACAGTGCCCCCCAAAAAGCAGCAGACGCTCAAACATAGCTCTGCTGTGTCCGCTGCTGCATTTTAAATCGAATAGTCAGCACCACCCACCTTTTAACTCATGCTTGTGTGCATCTTGAAGGGATAGGCTTTATTTTGTGCTTGCAATAAAAGCCAGCGCTCAGCTGGCAAGGGACCCCTGAATGGGAGCAAGAGTGGTTTTTTAATCAGCGTGAATACTCAGGATTTCAGGGCTTCCTTCTGACAGAAACGGATGCATCTGCTCTCCTTTCAGAGACGTAGGTTTTGAGGTGCTTTTTATGGGACTCAGGGTCTTCTGCCCAATCTGTTTGTTTTCTTTGAGTCGCCTCTGTACCTTTTTTTCATTTATAAAATGAAAATAAGAGATCATGCCTCCTCCGCTCGGGGGGGGGGGGGCAGGGGGGGGGGACACACAGCAGTCCAATGAGCTATGCAATGAAGCTAGGGACCCCTTCTCAGCTCCAAGTAAAGTTCCGGGATGCAAATGAACACCACATTTCTCCCCTGGAATCCTTGAAATCTCCTTTACCCCTCACAAAAACTTTATGAAGTTGTTATTGTCACTATGGAGATGAGGAACTAGAGCCATAGAAGAAAACATCACCCGAGATAACACACTGCTAAGAAACAGCTGCAGTGAACGTGCACACATGATTCCCAGAGAGTCTGGAACAACTTTCTCTCTCTAAAGCAGTTACCTGCCCCTTTGCGTTCAAGCTGACAGCTCCAGGCTCCCTTTGAATCATCTCCACCAGCTCTGGGGTAGGGGAGACAGACTTCATGATCACTGGAGGCCAGAAGGCTGCCACTTTCCGGAATTTGGCAGCGCCCCGCAGGAGCAACCACAGTCCTTTGGCAAAAGACCACTTTCCAACAACATTGTCAACCTGTATCATCTGGACCTCAGGGCCCTGGGCAGTTGGGGTACCCTGGGAAGCAGTAGCAGCCGGTTACCACCCCCACCCCACTGCTTGCCACCTGCTGAGAACCCCTCCTGTCATTTCATCCCCAAGCTGGGGGTTATCTCCCACATGGAGAAATTTAGGGGGAAAGCAGGGCCGGGGAAAGGGGAGGGTCGGCAGCTTCCACAAGAGCCCTCACTCTCCCTTTTAATAGAAGCCAGATTCAACATATGTCATTCCGTAAATCCGGGGGTCCAACTGGAGGCCTGTAATTTGCTGCAACCTTCCCTGTCCCTCCGAGTGAGGTGGAGCTGTGCCAGGCACATCAAGGTAACTGGTGGAAGATATCATTTGCCCACTCTGAGCCGGTGTTTCGGTTTCCTATTGTAATTTTTATTTGTGTTGAGGTTTTGTGGTTTTTCAAAAGTCAACTAGATTTATTTTAAAATTAAGGCAAGCCAACATCAAAGGCTCTGAGTGGAGGATGTTTAGGTATTATAAAGAAAGAAACGCCGTGTAATCTTTCCTAGTGTTCTTTTCCAGGGCATGTATCAGTGACTGGTTAGTGGACGTTTCACAACCAGCTTGCTCTTTTTCTCTGACTTTGCTCTGTATCCAGCCACCTACCCCTCAGCTCACCCTATGACTGAAAATCCTTTTCTTTGAGAAGCCCCCTCCCACCCCTTCCTTGGTCTCTCTCTCTCTCTCTCTCTCTCTCTCTCTCTCTCTCTCTCTCTCTCTCTCTCTCTCTCTCTCTCCTCTCTCTCTCTCATCTGGTTTGTAACTTGGTGTCCCAAGTAAAGAGTATGAAACTGAGGTTTCAATCCTTCCCTGCGTCCCAGCTCCTGAGATCCTGCCCCATGATTCACTACTAGATAGGGGAAGACTTCCCCAGTTCAAGTAGGAATATGTGGTTCCAGTGTCATTTACTTGGTAAGCAGGAGAGAGTTCCTACTGAGCGCTTCTCTTAATAATTTATGATAGATGGGGCTGCAGCGAAAGTACAGCAGGTAGGCATTTGCCTTGCACACAGCCGACCTTGGTCCAATTCCTGGCAACACTGAGAGTAACCCCTGAGCATCACTGAGTATGCCCCCCTGTCACTGCACAATAAAAAGAATGATAGGGAGAACCGAGAGATGTTTTAAAGGCTCTAATCCTGGCACTGCATATATGGTTCCCTGAACTCCTCCAGGTGTTATCCTTGAGCATTGCCCAGTGCAGACCCCGACCCAGCCCTAGTCCCATGTAAACAAGTTATAATTGTTACCTGAAAAATTGGTCTTTAAGTGCTGCAGAATATTTTTTCAACCCAGTTACTTATATGGAGTGTATTTTTAAGAGATTTGTTGTTCCTCAAAACAGGAGGATAACATTTGCTGATTTGATGATCAGCAAATTGAGCCACTTGCACTTGATCAGGGAAACTGACTTTTTTTTTTTTTTTTGCTTTTTGGGTCACACCCGGCGATGCTCAGGGGTTACTCCTGGCTCTGCACGCAGGAATAACTCCTGACAGTGCCTGGGGGACCATATGGGTTGCTGGGAATCGAACCTGGGTCAGCCGCATGCAAGGCAAATGCCCTACCTGCTGTGCTGTCACTTCAGCCCCAGGAAAACTGACTTTTAGGGACAGTCTTTGCTTTCTGTTATGTTGTATTTCCACAGATGAACCAGCACTTCCAACTGGTTACATCCTCTTTTTTTTTTCCTAAAAAGATCAGTGATTCCATAATATTTTCAATTATTAAAAGTTTTACAAAGGACTTGCAAAAAAGAAACATGTAGTAGTAAGAGCATGGAAATGCCTCAGTGTGCAGGTTTGAATCTCAGAACTCCAAGGCCCTTTCTCCACCCCTGCCCCCCCCATAATTTGCAACACAATGGAGGGGAGTAGACCCTGAAACAAGGCTGGTCTCTAGTAACTGATTGTTTCCCTGGTTGTATAGGATAAAGGAGAGCTGGGAGTCTCCTCAGTGCTGACAATCTTTCTCTGACAGAATCCTCCCCCAATGGTGACTTTTCATCAGATTTCTTCATCAGCATGGATCAGTGATTGTTCTCTAAGACAGTGTATTTAGAAAGCTATAGTTTTTATTCCAAGAATTCTTAGATGTGGGAAATACTTTCACCTCATTTTTCTCTCATTTTCTGGGATTCCAATAATTTGGGTAGGACCCATTTGAACCTCTGCGGAGGTAAAATATAGGCTTAAACTGGCCTGTCCGTGATCCATCGACATACTTTCTTGTGGTGGCCAAAAATTATACCGTGTGCTTATATTGATATGTCTAAAAAAGTTAATATTTTAATTGGTACCTACATATATTATAGAAGTTGATGTGGTTATAATTCCAGCAGATCTAATTAAATTAATAGTATCTGTCTACAAGGATAGAAATAAGAAAAATGTATAGAAAACTAGGTATATTAAATAATCAATATAATACTCTAATAAATTTAGGAGGAATATGTTGAAATTATGATTCATCATCATTCCACATATTTGTGCCTATATTTTATAGTCTAGTTAACAATAAAATTTTATGAGTTAACCTTGCCATGAAAACATTCTCTTCTTCATTGCAGACTTTTATATATAGCTTGGGAACATAGCCATGATCATCTTGATGTGCTTTTACACATTTTAGTCAATGAACCAAGATGAACTTACAGTAATTATATTTTTGCTCATCGGTCCAGATTTTATAAATTTGAATCTCTGTTCCTTGAAAGAGAGTCTGTGATGATTAAGTTAGTGAAAACTTCCGAGCTTATTAACACAAAGAGAAGATAGATACATGGGAGAAAAAAAAAACTTTACTATGTCTAAATTATTTTTACTAAATGATTATTGCACAACCTTTAAGATATTTCTGAAACTTGGATTATTTCTCAAAATGACTGAGTAACAACTATATATAGTAAGATGCTTTCTGGGTATTTTCAGAACTCCTAGTTATAACTATGCACCAAATATGGATAAACACTGGATCATGCAGTACACGGGACCCATGTTGCCCATCCACATGGAATTCACAAATGTTCTACACCGCAAAAGACTCCAAACTTTAATGTCGGTGGATGATTCTGTGGAAAGGGTAAGCTCATAAATTTACCTCTATAGCGGTTTCTACTCAAGTTTTCCTAGAGCTGTTTTTGCTGATTCTGTAATGCCTCTTAATGCCTCTTAATTTTATGTTAAATTTCATGTTAAGTCTGTTAGTTTGGTGATTTTATCACCTCACCCATATCTTGTCCCCCTTCAATCTACCTCTCCAGGTTTGGTTCTTAGGGACTCAGTGCCTAAGAGGAAATTTAAGTCATAACATTATAAATCAGGGCTACATCCATAAATAACTTCAGTAATATTTACATTAAGCAAATAATGTAAATAAGCAAAATAGGGGGCTGGAGTGATAGCACAATGGGTAGGGTGTTTGCCTTGCACGCTGCCGACCCGAGTTCGATTCCCAGCATCCCATATGGTTCCCTGAGCACTGCCAGGAGTGATTCCTGAGTGCAGAGCCAGGAGTAACCCCTGTGCATCGCTGGGTGTGACCCAAAAAAAAAAAAAGGAAAAGAAAAAGAAAAAGAAAAAGAAAAAAAACAAAATTGGTCCCTAATGATATTTTGGAGATGTTTAGGGAATGTGGTGGACTTGAAATTAAGTCCATGCCCCCTAAACAGGGGGCAGTTACTTAGCTCCAACTCACTTTTGCCCAATAGAAACATGAACCCAGTCTTATCTGGTCCCTTCACTTTGTGTGCGTGTTTGTTGGGGGGGGGGCAGGCAGGGGGTTGTTTGGTTACACTGAGCGATGCTAGCATTACTTTTGGCTATGTGCTCAGGGAACATTCCTGGCAGTGCTTGGGGGACTATATGGGATGCCAGGGATTAAATCTGGGTGTGCCATGTGCAAGCAAATGCCCTACCTGCTGTAACACTGTTGCAACTCCTCTCCTCACTTTTTTTTTTTTTTTTTTTTTTTTTTGCTTTTTGGGTCACACCCAGCAATGCTCAGGAATTACTCCTGTTTTTCACTCAGGAATCACTCCTGGCAGTGCTTGGGGGACCATATGGGATGCCGGGGATTGAACCCAGGCTGGCCACGTGCAAGGCAAACACCCTCCCTGCTATACTATCACTCCAGCCCCTCTCTTCACTTTTTAAAAAGAAGTCAGAAAGACAAAAATTTTACTTGAAATTTTGTGAATTTTAAAACATAAGACAAATAAGACTTGCACACCGACTGTGTTGAGCTAGATTGAGTTCAGAAGCAGCCTGCCTTTTATTTCTTTTAGATTTTGATGACTGTAAGAATAATACTAAATTTTGCTAGAACAATGGATTTTTAAAGTGAAAACGTTAAAGTTTGATGGCAAGGTCATTTTTTCTGGAGGCAGATTCTTTTTTTCTAAGTGAATGAAAACCTTAAGTCGGGGCTGGAGCAGTAGCACAGCAGTTCGGCAGTTTGCCTTGCATGCAGCCGACCCAGGTTCGATTCCAAGCATCCCATATGGTCCCCCGAGCACCTGAGTGCAGAGCCAGAAGTAACCCCTGTGCATGGCCAGGTGTGACCCAAAAAGAAAAAACAAACTTAAGTCAGATGTGTCAGATTCCAAAGAGTTACATTTCCACTCTGTCACTGAGCTTTATCCTTCCAGAATTGTAAGTAACTGAAAAATTTGGTTACTGCTTGTGTTTGGCTGCAAGAGTTAAAGCAACTCTTGCCTTTTGAAAATAATGGGAAAAAAATTTTAGGTGAGATCATGACATGCTGTGACCCTGTTACACCACCACACTTGCTTCTGACTTCTCTGTGTGTGCTTGCCGTGTTGCAGCTGTATAACATGCTTGTGGAAACAGGGGAGCTGGAGAACACATACATCATCTACACTGCGGACCACGGCTACCATATCGGGCAGTTCGGTCTGGTCAAGGGGAAGTCCATGCCATACGACTTTGATATCCGTGTGCCTTTCTTCATTCGTGGGCCAAGTGTAGAACCCGGATCAATGTACGTACTTCGGTTTTCACAATCCACTGCCATAACTTATGTATATCTGAAATAACTTTATAACCAGTCTTAGTGTCTGGTTTCCTCTCATCCCAAACCAAAAAAGGGTATAGGCATGCTGGTTATTTAGAAGATGAAAACCCACCCATCTACCCCCACTGCCCACCACATGTTAAATTAAATAGTTACTATTTTAAAAGGAAAGAAAGAAAAAAATAACTCAATGACTAATTCTCTCAAATTGACCAGACTCCGTAGCCCATGTGCCTTGGGGCCCCGTTTCCAGACAAAATGTTGTATTTAATTGTCTTTGAATCAGAGATGTACTGTCATTTTAAACAAACAAATATAAAATAGTGTCATCCTGGAAGGTTTTGTGGTGTTGATGGTTTTAGGCCACACCTAGCGGTTCTTAGGGGCTGCTCCCAGTTCTGTGCACTGGGGTCATTACTGATGGTGCTCGGGGAAGCATGCAGGGTTGGCAATGGAACCAAGCCTTCTGCATGCAGAGATGTGCTCGATCTCTCTGACCCCAATTTTTATTTTAATTATGACTAAATAATTTTTTAAAGGAAATGAAAAATTTAAAAGCCTGATTCTCTTGCAAAAGAAGCTTAAAGACTGAAGTTCTTTTTCTGTCACTGGGCAAGTTATTGCATCCTTCCATCTCGAGCTTCCCAACATAAAACAACCCTAACCTGTTGTGACACTCACCTTTCGTACAGATAAGATTGTGCCCACAAAACGCCAAAAGAGCGCAGTAAAAAAGAATTCCTGTAAAAAGCAGATGCTGGAGCGGTCCTTTTAGAGCCTCTAGCCTAGACCCCAATTCAACAATGGAGAATCACAGCACGGCCCGCTGCTGCGTGACACTCATCCTAAGGGAAGGTGACACTGGCCGTGTTTCTCTGAAGAATGTTATTGCATAACTTTGGATCACTAGAAATACCTTAGGGAGGGGTGTTGGGTCTGTGAAAGGCTAAGTAACAAGAAATGCATTTACCTAATTTTTAAAAAATGAATTATTTTCAGAACATTGATTTTTAAAATCCTAGTTCAACTAGCATTTTAGAGTATAGACATCTTTCCAGCCCAACTCCCATGAAAGTCTGTGCTATTGGCCACTCAGCCACTCTGGCCAAATGCACCCACCCTCTCCTCGGAGATCAGATACGAGGGCAGAGGCTTGGGGGGTCAGTGATTCCCAGTGTGCAGAAGGCAGCCTTCAGCATCCCGTCTCCACTAATACTGGCTCCAGGGTCTAACCACTGTCCCTTTGCAGAGTTCCACAGATTGTTCTCAACATCGACCTGGCTCCAACCATCCTGGATATCGCCGGACTCGACACACCTGCCGATGTGGATGGCAAATCGGTCCTCAAACTTCTAGACCTGGAAAAGCCAGGTAACAGGTGTGTCAATTTTTTTTCTTCCTCAGTCAATCCCTAAGTCCACGGGGTGCCAGAGCCTGCCAGTACCTGAAAGAAGGAGAAGAAAGTTCTCTTTGCCCAAGAGGATCACCCCAAGGGGTTTGTGAATAGCCCATTGATGGAGAGGCAGTCGTGGCCTGTGGGAAGTGAGAGGTGTTTCTTTCAATAAACTTAGCACAGATCCATTGGGGAAAACATCCAGATGCCAACAGTAAATATTTGCATTTTGATTTCAGATTTCGAACAAACAAGAAGGCCAAAATTTGGCGTGATACATTCCTCGTGGAAAGAGGGTAATTATTGGTTCCTGGGGCGCTTCTGGGAAGCGTTCCTAGCAGGCAACTCTGTGGGGAGCTCCTCCACCTCTTTTTTTGTTTGTTTACTAAGCATGCATGTTTCGCAAGCCCAGTCACAAAATTGAATGTTTGCTACTCAGTCTTTGCTGGTCAGCTGAGTAATGGCTGCATCATAGCTTCAAGAATCAATTCTCACATAACAGGAGCATAAAACTTATAAGAAGCTTGTATTACATTTTTGATCTTTGCTTTCCGATCGGACCAATCTCTCAACTTTCCCAGCCATAATTCTTAAGACCTGTATGAAATACTCTTTTCTACTTCCTTTCCTTATGTTCCTTTTTTCAGTTTTAAATGAAGAAATAAGTTCAATTACAATTATGTCAAGTCGATTCTGAGTTTCTCCCTTTTGATTATTGTTTGGTATCTTGTTTTTCTCCAAATATATATTGAGAGAAAAGCATTTATTCAATTAATTTATATACAGAACTATAAAGTTGAACAGATAGTACAGCAAGTAGGGTGCTTTTCTTTTTTTTTAATTTTTAAAAAAAATTTAGCTACCAAGAGTACAAAGTTATTTATGACTGGGTTCAGACATACAATGTTTCAACAAGAATCCCTTCGCTATTATCCCCTTTTCTCTACCAATGGCCCCCACCTGCATTTGTCTCCCACCCACCAGTCTTCCTCTATGAGAGGCACTCTGTGTGTGTGTGTGTGTGTGTGTGTTTGTGTATGTGTGTAACAGGTTACTGATAAGGTTTCACAACACTTTCGGCACCACCTCCTCCTTCCAGTTGGACACTTCCCTTATCCATAGACGTTGCCGCATCCCTGTCCTATACCCCGGCCCCCTCAAGTGGCATGTTTCCTACTGAATACCAGTTCTCATGCAAGTAGGGTGCTTTTCTTACAGACTTCTGACCTAAGTTTGATCCCCAGCAACCCATATGGTTCCTGACCCTGCCAGGAGTGATACCTGAGAACAGAGCCAGGAGTACGCCCTAAGTACTGCCAAGTGTGGCCCAGCCCACCCCCTCCACCCTCCTTCCCACCCCCACCCAATACTAAACATTTCTATCCAAGGTTTTCAAAGTAATGATGTGGGATGGGAGAAAAATTGTATTCCATTTATAATTTTTACAAAGACTACATCAAGTGTTGAATCCTCATGCACAGAGCTTCACCAACATTCTTACTGAAAATCCTATTCTCACTTCTCATTGAGAAACTTTTCTTTTTCTGTCAAAGGAAGTTTCTGCGTAAAAAGGAAGAAGCCAACAAGAATGTCCAACAGTCAAATCACTTGCCCAAATACGAAAGAGTCAAAGAACTGTGCCAGCAGGCCAGGTACCAGACGGCCTGTGAACAACCTGGGCAGGTGAGTGACCCACCTTGTCGTTACCTCCTCTCTGCTGTTTTATTTGGGATGTCAGCATATAAGATACTGTACATTTATGCATCAATAAGCTTATCCTGGCTGGCAGGGAATGGGAATGCTACTTGGGGTGCCTCTCCCCAAATTGCGAATCATCTCCCTGATCCATGTGTTCCAGGCTGGGACTCCTCACCACTGCATGGGATTCCCCTGTTTATTAATGATGGTGCCCCTCTTCATGACATTCCCCCCTTTTGAAACCCGGATGTCAAGAATAATAGAGATAATTTGTGATATATGTCTTTAATGTAATAAATAAGCCACATTTTTTCAGTACAATTGCTTGTGTGAATATATAAATGAACACAATGTTTAGCAAAAGAAAAAAAGATGGTATGCTTGGAGACTTCTAAATTTCAACTCAGTTAAACAGGACTAGTTCAAAAGAGCAGATATGTATAGTTCAAAAGATCAGAGACTGATTCCGTGTTAACGAATCAGAATCCAGAGATGGTTAAACCACAACCATCCTTGTGTTTTCTATTAACTGAGTTGAGAGGTTCCTATGAGTCAAATCATGCGTGGATGTGAGGCCAGTAGGCAGAGCGCTACCCCCCCGCCCAAAGACTTGCTGTTAGCACCCAGGACTAAATTCAGATATCAGCAATCCAGAGAAGGAGAGAATCTATGTTTCAGATCAGGGGTCGAAAGGAAACATAATGTGTTGGTTGATTATTTTTACATAAAAACATTCTGACATCAAATGTTGCAATAGAATTATCTTCATGAACAGAAATGTTACTATAAAACTTAAAGTCACCTGTGGCACTGTAACACTGTTGTCCTGTTGCTCATCGATTTGCCCTAGGGGCACCAGTAACATCTCCATTGTGAGACTTGTTGTTAATGTTTTTGGCATTTCAAATACGCCACGGGGAGCTTGCCAGGCTCTGCCGTGTGGGCGGGATACTCTCGGTAGCTAGCCAGGCTTTTTGAGAGGGACCGAGGAATAGAACCCAGGCCAGCCACGTCCCAGGCAAACACCCTACCCACTGTGCTATCATTTCACCTGTATTGTCTATTATATTAACTAAAATTAAAGAAATGCCAAGTAAGAACTAAGAGAGTGAGAACCTATGGACACAGATTTATTTAAACAATTTTGGGTTGAAATTTATGTGAAAAATAATGTTATTTCTTGATAATTGAGGAGCTGAACTTCTGCCTAATTCATTGCAGTTAAGGATAACACTTAAGAAAATTGAAAAATAATAATCACTGAGAATTTTTCATCCGTAAGGCACTGGATATGAAGTTTTTTATGTATCAGTTCAATTAATCCTCATATCACATCATCAAGTGAAATAGGCATTGTCATCTCCATGTTGCAAGGGCATAGCTGGTTAGTGATAAAGCTGTAACACAAATCAGTTGTAAGATTCAAACACTCAAATACTAGAAGTTACACTTTCTAGGTAACTTCCAAGTTACATTAACTAGGTAGAGAGAAGTTCAAGTCTTTTGTCTCTGTTTCTGTCTCTGTCTCTGACTGTCTATGTCTCTCTGTATCTCTCTCTCTCTCTCTCTCTCTCTCTCTCTCTCTCTCAACATCTCTGGCTTCTAAATGTCTATACAATTAATATCAATTCAAGATTTCAAACACCTGAGATAGATAGTTTGGCAATTATTCAAATGGCCTCATTCATTTACTCTTATTATATGGTATCTAGTTTATTGAAGAGACATTAATAATAAACAACTTGATCCTCATTCTTTCTGTGTTTCCTCATGCCATTTTGTACACAAGGATTCCTTTGAAATAGAAAAGAGTTGGGAGAAAAGTTGTTGAAAGAAGGGATAAAACCAGATCTTTATGGTATTCTAGTAAGTCTTAATTTTCAAGTGTTTAGTAGAGAAGCTTAGAACTATTCATTATATTTTAATTTGAAGTCTTCAAGTCCTTCTTATGGAAGCTCTAAGTATTATTATGACTAAAACCTTGGAATTGTTTTGCAGCTGAAAAATGATTTTTATGAGCCAGCCTCAATAAGCTAATTTACTTTTACTCAGGAGTTGGACGTGTTCAGTGTTAAATATATCTCATGCAAATTGGTGATCTTGTTACTATTTCAGCTCTTTAAGTGGCAAGCACTATAACCATTTGGGAATAAGGTACACTGCCTACCTTTCAGTATACAGTTTTTCAAAGCTCTTCAGATGGCTTGTGCTGAAATTTTAATATATGTCCTAAAGGGCAAATATAGCATAAACTAGATTATGGTACTTTGGCACAAGCTGTTCACTCATGTGCTGAATACTATGTTAAAAAGTTCATTTTGCTTTCTTATATTTTTCTAAACTGGCTTTGTCCCTATGAACCACTTTCATAGCTGGCTCCCTGGAATTTTCCTCTGCTGCATTATTTCTCCATGAATCGGTCTGAATTTAGATCCTATCACATAGATACATGAGAACATTAACAATGATCTCTTTTAGAAGTGACTGAATTTGTGGAACAAAGAATTAGATCATGCCGCTGATTTGGTGATTTCTTCCTATACAGTGCTATTTAAATTGTCGGTCAAGATTCTAAGGACTTCAAGAAAATTTTGAGCTGAAAATAATTGTCAATCTACATGTCAAACATGATAGCTTAGTTGTATTTCTATTTATAGAAAGCTTTATATTTTTGCCCCTTGTCCTTTCTGTCTGGTTACTAGAAAGAGACTGTTTTTAGTTTCAGCATCACTGACTTTATTTTTTGTTTTCTTGGGGGGCCACTCCGTCAATGCTCAGTCTTGCCACTGGTTCTGTGCTTAGGGATTACTCCTGGTGGGGTTCAGGGGAACATATGGGTGCTGAACACCGGTTGGCCGCATGGAAGGCAAGCACCTTACCTGCTGTACTATCACTCTTGCCTTTTATCACTGACATACATTTTTTTAGTATAATTCGATAGTATACAGTACTATTAATAATGGTTTCTCATGTACATAATTCCAACACCACACCTATCACCAGTGTATGCCCTACCCTCCCAAGAACCACAACACCTTCTCTCCCAGCAATTCCCCCCACTCCCCCATCACAGATCACTGACTTTATTTTTTTATTTTTGGGGGCGTCACACCTGGTGATGCACAGGGGTTACTCCTGGCTCTGCACTCAGGAATTACCCCTCGGTGCTCAGGGGACCATATGGGATGCTGGGAATCGAGCCCGGGCCGGCTCCATGCAAGGCAATTGCCCAACCCGCTGTGCTATCACTCCAGCCCCACACATCACTGACTTTAAACAGAGAAAGGGAGAAGTCCAGTATAACCTGATTATGTGATTCAGGGTTAAGGCAGCAGTTGAGGCTAGAGCTCATTTGCTTGTGCTTTGCTCATTTGACATGATTTCATGTGTGGTCAGTGCCTGCTTTCTCTCCCTCTGACCAAGATTACCTGCCTTATTTCAAAAACAACACAGCTTCCCTTTTGGCTTGACCCAGCATGTAGAGGAAAAATCATCCCAATGAGCACCATCATTGCTGTTCCCAAAAAGTTGATGCATCCCCCTTATTTCCATACCTTGTGCCTGGCCACCTGACTTGTTGGTTTGCATCATGTGGATGCAGAGAGGAGAGTCAATAAAGGGAAAAGGGATTAGAGTTCAAATGGTTTGGAATAGAATAGAGGCTATCCACAACTCTTTTAGAGTAGTGTTGTGTCTTCTGGGACAAGATAATTGATTTCTCCTGAATCTCAGGTTTTCTGGCTCTTATGAGAAAATTACTCCCACTCTTGTGAAGATAAAGTGATACTACAGGTAAAGTGCTAGAGAAACTTTCCAAGGATGTGTGAGTGTTGGGTGTTGGTGTCTTCTCTCAATATTCTCCGGTGGTTTCAACCTTTTATGTGCCTTCAGACCCACACCAGTCTGAGGCTGATGGTTGAAAACCGGCTTGAGGCCATTTACCTGTTGTTTTCATTCCTCTAAAGCCAGAGGGAATTAAAATGGGCTGGCATCCCAGATACTTGGCCCAGTCTCCACTATGTGAACAGATCTACTAGCGGGGACTAATTAAGACAGCATGCACACATGTGTTTGCATTATTTCCATGCTCCTGAATTAATGCAAGACTGAGTGTGAATTCCCATCACTCTCTACTGGCATTGCACCCCCAGGCACAGTTACATACAGACACATAACATATGCAAGCACATGCACATGCGCACAACACACACACATAACACACACACACACACACACACACACGGACAAATTTTCACTTCCCTCTGTGAAAAGACAGATTCAACAGAGAACATGGATTGGTGCTGCTCAGATATTTCTGCAGATTCAAATTGCCTGGGGAGCTTTTGCAACTGCTAAGGCATGGCCTTGCTCTATACCAGCGTTTCTCAATCTTTTTTTGACAGTGACCCATTTCAAGCTTGTTTTCTTTCTGTGACACCCCTCTTCCTTCAGTCTTCCTTCATGTTGGTATACCCTAGTGTTATGCCATGGCCCCCATGATTTTCAACTATGCCCCCTTTGGAATATGTTGGGCAGTAGATGGAAGATGATAGGAGACCAAGTGACCTCTGAGAAGCACTGCTCTAGATCAACCAGATTAAAACCTCTGGAGATGAGGCTAAAGCATCTGTGTTTTAAAACAAGGTTAAGAACCCCAGGCCTAGAATCACATACTATCAAAGTTAGAATGAGGCTTAAAATTTTACTACCTGAATGATATCATTTTCCAAGTTTGATAATTTAGTTCTGAAAACAGAAGCTATGAATCCAGTGTGAGATCTTGTATCTCTTCACTCCCAGGTTCAAAACTTCCCTGAAAATGCTGCCTCAGGAAAAGTACAATTGGCTGGGTTTTCCTTTGAGATTATCACTTGGTAGACATTTCACATGAAAGAAGTCCTAGGTATAGAACCCCCATAGCCGGAAATGGGCACTGTTGCTCTCAACCATAAGAGAATCACAAAATCAATTTTCAAAAGTTTGGG